TATTCACATATGAAGAGACATTAAATGCATAATGGATGCACCCTGTATAATGTTCAATATGAAGAAGATCTATATGTCTTAATGATTCACTTATGAACATAATAAACACAAACTACTGCCATAATTATCCTCAATAACTATCATAATTTATCTTCCCTAAAATATAGAAATGATTATATAACCGTCTATTAAAAAAATTACAAAGTACAAAACCACCCCTGCTCATTAACTAAGGTGTGTGATTCAATATGGAAAAAGATGTGACATTTGAGTGGTCTAAGTGAACTTGTAGAGTTAACACTGTAGTTAACAAATAATTAGGGCTATATAGTATGAATAAAAATTTAGTTTGCATGTGCATGGCTTGTGGAGAAGAAGAACAAAAATAAATAAATACAACCACCACCTAGAGAAAGTTGTGGTTGGATATATAAAAATCTGGATGCGTGCGCACATACAGGCATACACACATATATATACAAAGATGGAGGTTCATTTAAGAACCTTAAATATTTTAGGAACTCATGTACAACCTATTTTGTAGGTATTCATGATGAATATTGAATAACGTGATAAAATATTCATGATGAATATCGTTCATCATGAATACTTACAAAATAGGTTATTTCCGAGTTTCTAAAATATTTGAGGTTCTTAAATGAACATGCCTATATATGTATAAATCATTGTGTGTATATATTGTATATAATCTAAACATATAGCCATTTAAGGAAACTGAATAACATTATATATATATATATATATATATATATATATATATAATACATTGACAATGGATTTATACATATTAGATTTAAATTGAAAACGAGGGCACATCTCGGTACTTAGAAAAGTTGTTACCTTTGTATGATTGAAAGTTATCAAGTGATGAGTACACGTAAACTAAAAAGGTGAGTCTTTAAGAGAGCATGCTTACATACAAATTATTTGAGCATTATGTTATTTTTATGTACAAGTTTATGGACATGAAACGTGTATATGAATTTTATTATTAGGGGTTGCCTGCTATTTGTTTATGTGTTTTTGAAACATTAATTAGCATTTATAAGCAGGTTATTATTATTCAATCGGGTATGGGAGTGAGTCAAAATGTCACAAGGGATGACACTTCCTAGGGATAGGTGATCAAACAAGGGAGAGTCGTATAACCTAGGGAAATGTTGATGGCAATAAGACCTTAACCTTACGGGGTCAATTTTAGATATCTCATTATTATTTAAAGGGTTTTGAAGCAAATGTGCATATTATTATTTGGGTATTTTGTTTGTTGTCATACATAATAAACATGCATATATTTTACGCAGAAAACTGTGAACTCACCGAGCTTTGTAAAGTTGACTATTAGTATGCATCTCAGGAGTCAGGAGTTCAAAGATGGACAAGGAGGGGAGTCTTGCATAGGGAATAAATCTATATTCATCAAGTTTCTATTTATAAAATGCTTAGAATTTGTATTTGGATTTATATGTAATGTATCCCGATATGAGATGAGTTAGTTTTGGGATTTTAATTACGATTAAATTATTGTAAGACTTCCACGGTAACAGAGCTTTATTAAGCGTTAAGTTTTGCATATTTAATATTTTATTAGTGAGAATTACATGACACTTATAGTAGAAATGAGGGTGTTACAGGACATTACAAAATCCAAAGTTTTCTCACACCTCGGGGAGGTTTTATAATACAATATCTACACAAAGAATTTAGCAAAATATCGTATGATTTCATAAAATCAAGGATCACCTTAAACCGGAGTTGTAAACAAGTTTATAAACTGTCTAATATATGACCAATTTCAAAACTCTCAAGTTTTACCTACTTAGAACCGAAGTTAAGTTATGTCCATATCACAGGCCATAGAGATTTGTTGTACACATTAACAAGTGCTACAACAATGTACACTTTAGCACCTATTTAGGAACTTATTTTACTTTCATTTACTCTAAAAAGCAGATATTGAGATTTCTATTCTTATTTTACAAGTTGTAAGTTTGGAGCTAGGTTAAAAAATTAGATCTGTTTTTGATAAATATGCAAAAATAAGTGAGAATTGGATTTGTTTATGATAAATATGCTACAACAGGTTGCTACATCATTGCTTGTTGACAAATACTGTAGAAACGAGCTGACTTTTAGAAGACGCTTTTGAAGACCATTTAGTCTAGACATCAAAGAGTAGTCACCATGCTTGGAATGGCTTCTTTTGACTTTCCTTAATTAATTATAAGTTTCTATAAACTTTTGGTTAATGTTCTATGGACACTATGTCCCTTGTGTATTGTGTTTCCTCTTTTGAAAGCATCTCTCTAGCATACAAAAAGGGATGGCTTTGTTAATTCATATACAATTCGGACACTGAATTCAATTCAGGTACATTGTAAGCTTAAGTACTTATGTGTTTTCAAAATGGAACGAATTCCTAGACTTTTGGTTTAGAATTCACATTTACGACTTAGTGCTGCAAGTTCTTCAGTCCTTAGAGCACCTTTTCTCTCAAATCAATTTCTTTTCAAGTCCTTACCCTTAGTCAGTGTAAAATTGTATTCGTCTTGATAAGTTAATTTTGTCTATAATTGTATTAAAGTCATCGTGTTTGACTTTTCATAGGATAGTTTGACTTTGACTTTGTCTAGATGTTTGACCCTATATAAAGGGTGAGTTGCTTGTAATTTTGTAGGATTCTCATATTGTAAAATCATATTTACATAATAAAGGTTTGACCAAGATTTCAGTGTTGACCTTTTATCTCTACTCTCATATGTTCTTATTAGAAATATACAAATCTGTCATTGATGATTTGAAGCTTTCATGAAGATTGTTTAAAGTGGGATCTACAAAGTCATTTACTTTTTTTGTCATTTACTTCACAAATCAATTATTCTTAAGGCGTTTACATTCAAGTCACTTACTTTTATATCATTTACATTTATATCTGCAAAGTGATAATGGGCTAATCACCCTAGCCATGCTGTAGGTGAAGGTTAATAGAATAAGCCAACTGTGAATGTGAATAATTATTATCACAATAGTTATCAGCTTCACTATCCACTTCATTTCTTGATGTTTCATCTAATGATTTTTGACAAGTTGATACACATTATTTCAGTAAGATGAGTTGAGCTTAAAAAGAAGACAAATGTAAACAAAAAAAGACTTAAAGAATTGTAGAAGTTGCAACAACTTATACAATTATACCTATATGGAAAGAAATATAAGTTTAGTACTATGCTTAGATTTGTATTCATTATTGACACAATGAGGTATTGCCGGTAAGTGTTTAACTGTACTTCCAAAGAAGGCCGTTCGATCTAGTGGTGTGATGTTGAGAACTCTTGCTGCAATAACCTCATGTTGTATTGTAGCAATGTTCTGCTGCACTTGAGCTGAAATCTCAACAATATGTTACACACATGATTTTCTTTTAATACTGATTATATCTCAATAGTTGTTAACTCTCACACAAACAATTGCTTCAAATTGACCATCTGAAATCCTCTTTTAAGTTTGACTTCCTCAATCATAGCTTTTATTTGTCCATGAGGTACGATACTTTGAAATATTTACTATTTATTACTTGATTTGGACGACACCAGTGAGACATATATACTTGCATGACTTACTGTTGTTGCAACCTTTTTCTGGGTTATACTTTCTTTCGACCACACATCTTAAACCTTTCCAGAACCTATCGTATATCTTTTTTCGACGAATGAAATATTTGTTATGCATTTTATCAACAACATTAAATTTTCTAATGTCATCGCAACCACTTATTTGTTGCATCATTGCTTGATAATATGACGTTAAACCCTCTTTCTGATATGTTAATGAACCCATAATAATATAAAGATTTCACATAAAAATCATATCTTTAATTATTGATATTATTGTTGAAACTTTCTGTAACTTTCTTGCATTGTTTTATCCAAAAATACATTTAGACTCCGATACTTTTTGCTAGATTAAGTTCTTATGATTTCCAAATGAAAAATGTAGAATAATAAAAATGGTTTCCTGGTATTTTTTTTCTCCAACAAAATAAAAGATTTGAATCTCCTCAAACTATTCTACGTATGCGATACTTTCATATTTTATTTGAATGTGTTTGACCGACACCCACATCAAGTCCACTTTTTTCATTTAATGACACTTTTAGTCCCTCATTTCGAACATCCCTTGCATCTAGGCTCGAAAATGGGGTGTTACAGGACCGATGGCAACTCCACAACAATGTGATAAAATGTATTAAAGTGCAACTTGTTGAAATATGTAAGATGTCAATATCAATGATTGTTTGTGGTGGTGGTATAGCAAAGAGGTAGAGACATAGACATTGACTATGATGGTAGTACCGATCTTGATAAAAAGTTCCAAACTTTAAGCGTGTCAAACCAATCTTGATCATAAAAAAAAGAACCTTAGATGAGTTAGACCGACCGTTAACGAGAAACAAAACTATCGGGTCAAATTCAAAATTTTTAATTGTGATATTGCTATTTCTTTTCGAACGTGAAATACTGTTCCATTTTTCTCGTTTTTAACAAACCAAAACAAACAAATCTAGTATTTGTTTCATTTATAATTCTTAAGTATACGGTTCTTTGAAGACCGCTACTCCCTTTGATGAAATCACAAAATAAAGAATATGGAAAGATGCCAGACCATGAAACAAACATTCATATACGAGTTTATTGATGAACAAGTTTGACATCTGTCGGCATCGACAACCCTAATCCTAGCGAAATTTATGGGCTTTCGGCCTGCTAGGAGCTCGTGCATATCACTTCTTTGTGGTCAAGTCTTTTTCTCCTGTCGTATTTGGTAAATCGCACATTAAAGTTCGTAATTTAAGTCACATCAAATCGTAACCATCCATCCTTAAATTCATAAGTTTAAAATTTCAAGAAAACCATTTAGGTTTTTGTATACTGACAGTACCGCGGTACTGCCTACTAGTTGTGGATTTTGAGCTGCAAACTCTTTGTTCTTTTCATCAACAAGAATGAAAAATCATTTGTTTTAAGGATAATCCTTTTCAAAAGATTCCTTCTCTTTTTCGTCAACAATCGTATACCTCAATCCAATGTTGCTTCCTCAATATGTTTATTTTTCTTTTTCTTTTTTCCTATGTTGTGTTTTGTTTTCTAAAGAGGGATGAGAGTGAAAGTGAAATTCTAGGGTTTTGAGATAAGGGTTTTTCTTTTTGAAGTTCTTTTTACTTGTGGGTCTTCAAGATTTATCAATGGAAATGGAAGAGGTTGCTGCTATTGAACAAGATGGTTCAAGAATGGTTACCTCTGCTGGCTTTGGAGATGAAGCTATTGACATTGCTAGGGAAGGAAATCAGGTCGATTTGAATGTTGCTGTGATGATGGACAGTGGTGATGAAAATGGAACTGTTGAAGGGTACGAGCCTAAGGATTTTGAGGCTAAGATGGAGAAAACCCTTGTAGATGATGAGATTGGAGGATTTGTAAGTGAAGAAAATGGCGAAAATGGTGTTAGCATTGACGAGAAAGATGGGGTTATTGTTAAGAAGAAGCGCCCTTGTCGACCAGGGCCTCAGGACAGGGTGATAGTTCTTGGTATTCATTGCGTTAATGTTGATTTTGATGCTATTAACAGGAAGCATAGTGGTCGTGGCCGTGGCCGTGGTTCTGGTCGTGGCCGTGGTCGTGGTCGACCCAGGGGTCCAAATTACAATAAGAGGAAGTTCTCTGGCAATGAAGCTTACGAACAAATTGGTCTTGGTGAAACTACACAAGTTGGTCTTGGTGAAACTACACAAATTAGTGCTGGTGAAACCACACAAATTGAAGCTTACGAACAAATTGGTTCTGGTGAAACTACTGTTGATGGACATGAGAGAGCTGAGATTCCAATTATTGACTATGACTTTGGTGAAGAAAATCAGAATTATGCAGATGGAGCTTCTAATGCAAGTGAGGGAGGTGGGAATAGTATGTGTTCTGAACTCAGTTCAAAGAAGAAGAGAAGGAAGCTTATTGGTGGTGCTAATGGTGTCGGTGCTAATGGTGTCGGTATTAAAGTTAGAGGTCGAGGTCGTCCAATGGGTTCAAAGGACTCCAAGAAGAGGAATCGCAGATGTCGTCGATTCATTTATCCGGATGAGAATACCATCGGTAAAGAGGGTCAAAGTGGTGAGAATCCAATTTATAGAATGAGTTGGAAGGAATCAGGGCATGGTGAAGAAGATCAAAATCATGCGGGTGAAGCTTCCAATGGATTTGAAGGTCAGAATAAGGCACCATCCAGGAGTAAGTTAAAAGTGATGAAGCGAAAGTGGGTGGTCGGTGGAATGAATGGCACAATACGTAGAGGCAGGCCAAAGAAGTATGTTGATGGGTACAAGGAGAGAGGAGCATATATTGATGGAATAGCTGATGAACTTGTAGTTGCAGGAATTGATGTGAGTTTCTTTCTTTGGATGCTTCTCTTTAGTTGCTTAAAATGTTTTTATGAAGTTGGTTTATATGTAATTATGATAAGATATCAATTTAACATTTGTCTGTTAATGAACGATCTCTATGTGAAAGTATGCAAAGACACTAGAAATGAGACTTCTATCTATAAGTTTTGGTTTTATTAGTGGTTAGAAAGAGTAAATATTGATTTGTTAATACTAATGGTTCCATGTTCAAGTCGCCTTCTCTGTATGTTGAGTCCAAAAATCTTTTGGTTCATTCTTTGATAGCTAATTTTGGGGGGGGGGGGATTTGGTTATCTTATGGTGATTAAACCTTGATATTCCTTAAGAGCAATTTGGTTGTTGAGTTCTGTCCATCCCCAAAAAGGAAGACACTCCGAAAAACAGGCTACTTTATAAAATTTTGATTCTAAGTTTTTTATCAATAAAAGAAGAAAACTAACATCTAATTTAGGCTTCATAGCAAGTTCAACAAATTGATAATCTGTACATGTAAATGATATCAAAATCCGTGTTTGCCATGCATGTGGAGAAGTACTGAGTTTGGCTTCTAAAAATTCTTGGATGAAGTAATGCATCCTTGTAGTCCTGCAATAGCTAACAAACAATAGGATAAATCAAACAAGCAAAGATCTATCGTGGTTACTGTTATTTTTGCAATTTGTTATTGTTTTAATACATATCTATCTTTCTGAAATAGGGAAAGAATGCTCCTCTGATTGTGGGAAATGAGTTGCAACTACTTGCAGCTGGCAAAGAGGATCAAAGTGGAGCTAGCGAAACCATCATTGATGATTATGGTACGGGTGAGATTGTGGCAGGCGGTGATCAATCTTGTTATTTGGAATATCAGAATCATGCAAGAGAAGCTGCCAACAGAAACAGAGACCGTAAGAATATTTTATCTTGTAGGGTTAGGAGGAAACCACGGTTAATTGTAGCTGGTGAAATCATGACCTATTCTGATGTGAAAAGGCGTAGGCGCTCTGTCAAGGCAGGGGATGCCACCATTCCAAGAAGGCCCAGAGGTAGGCCTAGGAAGTATATACATGGTCCTCAAAGAATTGGAGGGGTGGCTGGAGTATCCAGCGACACAAAAATACATGGCGACTCGAATGCAGGTGTTTCAGTGAGTTCTCCCTCATTCTTTCTTCTCTTTTCTTTCTATATTAAGTAGTTTACAAAGTTTGATATGCTTGGACGTGAGATCAGTTAACCTTTATGTGTTGTTGCCGATGCTCAAACTTGGGTTTAGCACATCTCTTAATCAACATGCATGTTGAAAATGAAAATTAGCATATGGGCAATTTACGTTTCTTGGCACCAAACAGAAACGAACTTAATTACCCTGTTAAGATGTATAATATCACGCACACAATCATAGTTGCAAGACACGAAAAATCGAACAGGTTGAACAATTTGCTTATATTCATGAACTTTCAGTAGTACACATACATCAAAGAAATACTCACTTCATTTTATATGATGGAAATCAGACAGAAAATGGGGAAAAAACAGGAATAACGTCATCCTATTTGTCATTACTTTTTTTTTTTCCAACATTCCAATTTTCCCAATAGTGTAGTTCAGTTTACAGCTCAAATCAGGCTCCAAGTCCAACTGATTCTTTTGTAGAAATTTGCAAGCAAAGTTGTCCATTTTTTGTGCAAGGTTGGCAGTGCCAACTTTGTCAAAACTTCTGAAGTCCTCTTACGTGCTAAGTCGAAGATGTTTTACATCTTAATCTGACTAAATTTCCTGATGCAGAATGGACATCAGGGGAGTTTGATGTGTCACCAGTGCACGAAGCGTTATAAAAATGTTGTCTCTTGTTCAAATTGCAAAAGGAAGCGCTATTGCTATGGATGCATCGTGAGTTGGTAAGTGATGCCTTGTTCATTGCTTCATATAACTATGAAGAAATGTTTTGGATTTTGAGAGACTGCATAATATGGTTAGGATGAATAATCACACACAATAATAGTTGTCAGAAATGGACATTTGAACACACACTAGTTAGAACATACAAAGAAGAAGCAATATACTCATAACCAAAATTGTTGCTAGGATTGTTGTTGTATCTTCCGAATTTTCAGTAGTACATACAAAGAAGCAGCTAGAACCATTTATAATAAAATAATTAGATAGAAAATGGGTAAGGCTGGAAATTATTGTTCTAACTGCCCTTGTAACAATGGAGTTGGATCCAGGAATCAGGTGTACAATCTAAATCAGGTTCCATATCCAACAGACCAACACATATTCTACCAAGGATTATGGTCAAGAAATCCAAGATTTTGTTTTCTTAACATGATTATATCTGTTAATTTCGAGAACATTGTAATGTCAAATTGTATTAAACTGAAAGAACGCATATACAGTAAGAAAATTTAAGGGTATCAGATAGAATTGCAATTGGCTGATGGGAATATGATCATTTGCTTAATTAGTTGAATTGCATTTTATAATTAGAGCCTCAAATTGGGCCATTATGACAACTCTGCTGTTAAATACTTCCCCTAAATTAATGGCTGTATCGAACTTACCAATTTTTAATAGGTATCCTGAGAGAACAAAAGAAGAAGTCAAGGTTGCATGTCCATATTGTCGTGGCAATTGCAACTGCAAAGCTTGTCTTCAAGCAAATGTAATCGTAAAGGTATATGCTTCTATTGCTGCGTTTTCTACCTGTTTGACTCCCATAATGCGGGTCTCATTGACAGCAAACTGTTTGATTGCAATAGGCTAGTCACAAAGAAGCCGACGAGGATATCAGATTGCAAAGGTCACTTTATTTGCTTAAAAAAACGCTACCTCTTTTGAGGCATATAAAAGAGGAGCAGAGATGTGAGCTCATGGTGGAAGCTGGAATACTGGGTATTTAGTTTTTAAGTAATCGCAATATTTAAGCTACATGTCCTTCTAATGATAGAACTTAAACTTGAATTTCATTGTTATTTATTTTTTAGGTGTTCAATTGACAGAAGAACATGTACGGAAAGCTTCATTTGATGATGATGATAGAGTGTACTGGTAATTCTCATGCTTCCAACCCATTAAGAAATATTTCTTTTCTATATCCCCGTGCATTTGTGTCTTTCTGTTCACTGCTTAAGGATTTTCATTGCTTGAAAATAATGTGCAAGTCTGTGATTGGATTTTCTTGTCTTTTGCAGTACTCCCTATTTCAAATCAGTATAGATGATTATGTTACATGTTGAGATGATATTGATTATGCATCCATCGTCTAGTGTTTGATGTTTATACATCACAGGGTATGCCTGAAATAATGATAATGCCAGGCCTTTGTTTTTAGCAGATACCGAGAATCATTAATGAAGTTTTGCGTGTAGTTGCACTTGGTTGTATTGCTTATCAATGCTGCCTATTTCCATGAACTTCATTTTTAATTGGTGACGAAGCAACATTGAGCTTCCATATTTAGTTTGAATGTAATCTAACTAGAGATCTTATTATTTACCAATTTTCTTATAGGAATCATAAAATGGACATGTGTGTATATAAGAATGATATATTGTTAAGAAGATTTCTGAAGTCAAAATGAACAATGGGTTAAAAATATGATGGATTCGGTAACTGTCTTCTTATGCTATAATCAAACGCACACAAAGTTTCGGTTTTAAATGGAAGAAGATAAGATATACCACAGAACTCTGTTGGAGGTTATGGCAAAGAGTTATTAGACATTTGTTGATTTTTTTTCATTTTTATTATGTGCGGCGTTTAACTTGCTTTTATGCATCTCTCTCAATTTAAAATGTCATTTATGATGGATGCCATATTATTTCTGTATTTTCTTAATTATTTTCTCTCACTGGAACATGTACAAATCCTTCATCATAAAACTCATAGATTCTGGTGACGGTTTTATTTATTTTTGTTGGATCCTAAACTTCACATGTGGGTAATTGAATGACCGTCCTTGTTCGACAGTGACAACTGCAATACATCAATTGTCAATTTCCACAGAAGCTGCCCAAGTCCTGATTGCTCTTATGATATCTGTCTCAATTGCTGTCGCGAACTCAGAGAAGGTATCCAGCCTGGTGGTAGTGAAGCTGAATCTTCTTTTCAACAATTTCTTGAGAACTCTCAACTTCAGGGTGCAGATGCAAGGGGACAATTTTTTGGATGGAAAGCTGACTTTAAAGCAGACGCTTTTATAGCTGATAGCTCCTTAGACTTCCCTGTTTGGAAAGCAAACTTGGATGGAAGTATCCCCTGCCCTCCAAAAGCTCGTGGAGGTTGTGGTATTGGAATGCTAGAATTGAGACGAATATTTGAAGTTAATTGGGTGCAGGAACTTGTCGAAAAGGCAGAGGTCCTGACCTTCAATTTTCAGATGGCCGATATCGACTTTGGAGAAGCATGTCCAGTCTGTCCTAGCATTGACACTGTAGAAAATCATGATGTTGTTAGGAAATCGGCTACTAGGAAGAATAGCCATGACAATTTTCTCTACTGCCCAAATGCTATTGATCTAGAAGACAATGAGTTTGAACATTTCCAAATGCATTGGAGGAGAGGTGAACCGGTTGTGGTTAGAAATGTTCAAGCAAAGACATGTGGGCTTAGTTGGGAACCAATGGTCATGATGCGAGCTTTCAGGACTGCTAAAAAAAGGTTAAAGGAGGAGAATCAATGTGTCAAGGCTATTGATTGCTTGGACTTGTGTGAGGTATGCATGAAAATGTATTCTTGAATTCTATCTTTAAGCATTTTGTTGCTGAATAATTTTATTTGAACTTGGAATCGGTACTAAACATATGACCACATTTTTTACTAAATATTGGGGTCTTCACGAAAATAGCCACTCTACTCTCTAGGGTAGAGGCCAGGTCTGCTTTTATCTTACCCTCCCCAGACCCAACCTCAAGGGATATACCGAGTTCATTTGGTTCGGATTGGTTTTGTTCCTATATTAGCATATAATGTGTTCTAAATAATGTGTTGTTAGGTGGAGATTCATCTTAAGCAATTCTTTGGGGGATATGTAGTGGGACGTAGACATCTAAATGGATGGCCAGAGATGTTAAAGCTCAAGGATTGGCCGCCAACAAATTCATTTGACGAATGCTTGCCAAGGCATTGCGCGGAGTTCATTGCAATGCTTCCTTTTAGTGATTATACTCATCCTAGATCAGGTCTTCTCAATCTTGCTACAAAACTTCCTGATGGTTCTCGAAGGCCAGACTTGGGTCCTAAATCTTATATTGCTTATGGATTTCCTGAGGAGCTTGGTAGAGGTGATTCCGTGACAAAACTACATTGTGATATTTCTGATGCGGTACGTAACAGAGTTTTTTAATCTGTTTTCTTGCGAGTTTTTTGAATGGTAACCAAAAAGTTGAAAAAATAAGGTGGGCAGATGAGTAACTCTACATTGAAACCTTTCCTAAAAAGAAAAGCGTTGCGTTGTTCATTAGGATGCGGCTACTGATGTAAATTCGTTTGTTGGTTCATGAAACAAATTTCTGATTTTGGCTCAGGTAAATATACTGATGCACACAACCAAAGTGAAAGTTTCTTCTGCGGAACTCAAAAACATTAACAAGTTGCAGAAAGAACACAAAGCTGAAGACATGAGCGTCATCTCTAGTATGGCACATAAGGCATTGAGCTCTTTCACAACAGAACCACCTAAAGATTCTTGCAATGTTGATTCTGTGGATTCTTTATGCATACAAAAAGGAGGTGATGATGATGAGACTGGGGCTTTAATGGCTGAAGAACAAAGCATCAACAAGAATTTGAATGGCAGCCTTGTTAAGACGGCTGCTTTGTTGAATCCATTGGCTTTGGAAACAACTGAGTCGGACAGAAATGAATTGGATTTCAACCTTTCATGCCCTGAAGGTAGAATGTCGTGTAACACTGATGTCTCTATCTTCGACTATGTTGGTTATACACTTTTTGAATAAAATTGAAGCCTAAATGAGTCAAAAGCATATATGATCACTTATTGGTAAATATGCGTTCTTTTTATCCACCAGTCTTGACACTTTTTGAGGACTTATAATTGTACATTATTTTTCAAATAGGTTTAATGTAGTAATTTTTGAAGGGTTCAGTTTAAATATTATACTTGTTTATAAGAGCTTATACAGGCCCATAAAAACAAGTTCATATGAGCCAAGCCGATGTTCAAGCCTATATTAGCCCTTGAACCTATATGAGTTGAGCCTGAGCCTATGTCTTTCGAGCTCTGCAAGCGATGAGCTGAACCCAACCTACATATCTTTTCACGATCTGAGCAAGCTTGGGCCTGGCTCAGATCAGCTCACATGCACCTCTGGTTTTACTTTCAGTTGATGAAAAGACCTTTGATCTGTTTAAGTAATTTGTTGGGCAAAATGAATGAACTATGAGAGTCTAGAATATGGTCTTGTCCTATATTCATAAGGACCCACCAAATGTAAAGTGGTTTTCAGGCAACAGACCCTCGGACTTGGCCTTGGTGGTAGGAAAAGCAGACCCAGATGAAGATATTCAGCGAAGTGATGATCAATGTTCTGAAAGTGTATATGGTGGTGCTCTATGGGATATCTTCCGTAGGCAGGATGTGCCTAAATTGACTGAGTACCTGAATAAACATCAGAAAGAATTTCGTGGCATCAACAACGCTCCTGTGAGATCTGTGAGTATGATCATTATAAAAACTTTGGTGATATACTATTATATTGTATACCAGATATAAATATCTGATTGAACATTTTGTTTATACTTTAGGTTGTTCATCCAATCCATGACCAAACCTTCTATTTTGACGAAAAGCACAAGAAACAGCTGAAGGAGGAGTTTGGTAAGATAATACTGCACCTCTCGCATGAAATTGAATAGAAATTCTATGACAAATTGTCAAATATCTTTAATATCCTTTTACAAGGACACAATAGTCTTGTGGCACCCAATTTAACACCATCAGTTTGTTTGTAAGGATGATAATGGACAGATAGGTAATTTGACTTGGAAAACTTTCTAAAAAAGGTAATCTTGCAATTTTCATGGGATGGAGGGAGTATGTATTAACTCGAGACTTTATAAATGCATGCTGATTCTTGGTGGTAACTTTCAGGCGTGGAGCCATGGACATTTGAGCAATATCTTGGAGAGGCTGTTTTCATTCCTGCAGGTTGCCCACATCAAGTTAGAAATAGACAGGTTAGAACTTCAAATATTCGTAGTTTGTTTCATTTTGCATGGTTCATATGGTGGTCCTACCTCCATTGGCATTGTTGATTTAGCAATTAATTATTGAATTCTTGTATACAGTCATGCATTAAAGTGGCTCTTGACTTTGTGTCACCGGATAATGTTGAAGAGTGCATCCGCTTAACAGAAGAGTTTCGCTTACTTCCAAAAACCCATAGATCCAAGGAAGATAAATTGGAGGTACAATATGCCAATTTGGGTTTCAAGTGATTTTCTTGTATATAATCAGAATGCTGTCAGTATTAACTGTCCTTTGTGCACACTCTCTTTTCAAGTAGTTTTCTCCGTTATGCCCACCTGTGTTTTTTCAAAATATTCGCAACCTTCAAAAATCTTTTTGACAACTTGTCAAAAGCTCTGTTCATGGAAACAACTTCTCTATCCCTTGGGCAGAGGTGTTTGCATACATCCTACCCCTCCTAGACCTTACCTTTGAGTGGGTTATGTGTAGTATGGTTTGGTTTAGTGATTTAAAGTTATACCATCAAAACACTGGGCTTCATATATGCTCAACTTACCAAAGAGCCATTGGCCTACCGGTATCTGGAAACCCAGCCTTCCTAGTGGTCCAAAGGTTCAAACCTCATCAAAGGTGAGGAGTGTGCTTGAGTTTCATTTGCAGTATATTATATACTTCAAAAAACAATGTATATGACCAAGTTGTAGTCTTTCTGAACTCTGCCAAGTCATGCTTTGCAGGTGAAGAAGATGGGGTTATATGCTGCAAGTGTTGTTATTGATGAAGCGAGTAAATTGATGCTGAAGCACAAGTAAAGTTTTTCTTGGATAATTTCTTTCAAATTGTGTACAAACTCTAGCGCGCAATTATAGCCTAAATATTCCATGTCAATCATCTGTTTTCCTTGCAGTTCTCAACTGCAACCTCAGCCTCCAATAGATGCTGCAAATCTGAACTTGGAGCAAGGTGTTGAAGCAAGGGAACCTCAGCCTCCAATAGACCCTGCAAATGAAAATTTGGAGCAAAGTGTTGAACAAATGGAACCCCAGCCTCCATTAGAGGCAGCAGATGAAAATGTGGAACAAGGTGAACTAAGAGAACCTCAGCCTCCACTAGATGCAGCAAATGAAAACGTGGAACAAGGTGTTGAACCAAGGGAACCTCAACCTCCAATAGACTCTGCAAATGAAAACATGGAGCAAGGTGTTGAACCAACAGAAGCTGTTGTGTTGAGAGACTTGAGTTAGGAAAATGGTGTTACGAAAAAATATACAAGATAAGCATGGTCCGTATCGATGTTGTAATTCTGCTATTAGGAGGGAATGTATGAGAATTTTCATTTATATAATCATGATGTGGACAAAAATTAGAGCATACACAACTGAAATCTGAATTAGAAGAGCCTTATTTTCATTATATGTTCTTCCTTTCCTATATGCATGTGAAGGAGATGAAAGCATCCTTTCCTATTCTGCTTTATGTGGTTTTGATAATGCCATGTCGTGGTTAGTTTATTGATTATGATTTTGCAGTAGTTGGTCATCTCATGGTTGGCAGGTTGGGTGTTAAGAGATTTATTAGGTTCTTTTGTAACATTTAGATGAATATTAGACCAAATTTAAGATGGTATCTGTACATTGTGAAGCTACTTTTAAGTTAGAAGGGTCTTATCTTGTGGAACCAAAATTGCCCGATTCATTACACATAGAAAATGGTGTATGAACCCCTCCTTAAAGGGGTACGTGAGGGTAAAAAAGGATAAGAAATAAGATGGTATATGGTTGAGAAGAACGAGAAGGAGGTATGAATAACAACCCTTATGGATTGATTGATATTTTTCTTCCTCTAAAAATTACAGTCATAATAAACAAACTAAAAACGTATTTGTTGGTGGGTTTTTGAGTTGCATCATTATAAAGTAACTTATTATCTTTAAAACAATATTAAAGCTTATTGGTATGAACCGAATGGATTATGTTATCTAATCTTATTTAGAAGCTAGTGCAACACTCGATGCTCTTTTTTAACATAATGATAAATATATAAGTTAATATAAAAGGGGTTACAAAATAAGTAAAGCATGTAAGAACTATTTTCTTACAACCAAATGATTGAAATATTTAAGCTAATGGCATTATAATTTAATGATAAGGGTTAGTTCATCTTATTTAGCCTAATTGTAACTTTTCTATTTAAGCTTCCTTTCATGTCCAACCAGGTGAATATACCTTTTGGCTTTTGCCTGTTTTTCCAAGTTTTTGTTTAGAATAAAATGAGAAATAAATGTAACATCACTCGGTTTGTATCTTGAATCCAGCAACGACCCACACAGATATTCAGCTCCATCTTCGCTTCCTCAATACCTAAACCTCACAAATTTCCCTCAAATAATCCAATCCTTTGGTTTCGCTCTACATTTTTAAACTTTAATTTCTTAAAATCTCACAGATTTCCTTCAAAAATCTCGTCTTTGTTGTTGTTGCTTTGGACCTTTTGCTGTACTTTCTCAAACCCATTATTCAAATTTCTAAAACACCATCAAATTTCCCTGTTTTTGGGCTTTCGTCACCAGCCATGGCTGCTGCTGCCCTGAGATCGAAGTCATCCAAAGCCACCGCTTCCTTATCATCTATCTCACAATTTAAATACTTCATTTTAACTCACCGTATGCACGCTGGTCGTATACCCAATTTCCCAATCACTAGTTCAATACCAACAACAAGCAAATTAGATGAATATTTGCCTCACTATCACCATCAACACCAATCTTTTAAACCCTTTTCACTCCCCGCTGAAGTTGTTGATAAGGGATGCGGTTTTTCCAAGAGTAGTAATAATAAAAGGAGATTGATTACTTTGTCTGGTAGTGGTGGTTATGGAGATCCACCTGAGGTTTGGCAGCCTCCTGGAGATGGGATTGTTCCTCAGCCGGGTCTTAAGGTGGTCCAGGTATCCGGTGGAGATGACCCAAGTACCGGTGGGTTTGGATCCGATTCTGGAGATGGGAGTTGGGGAGGGTCTAGTTTGGGTATTAGTTTCCCGACTCCCAAAGAGATTTGTAAAGGGCTTGATAAGTTTGTCATTGGTCAAGACAGAGCTAAAAAGGTTATCACTTTAGTGTTTAATTTTATGTCTTTGATGTTGTTTAATGCTTGCCATTTATGAAATAGAATGCTGTATGATATAAGTTCCCTTCTTGCTGAAGATTTAAGTTCTACTTTTATGTCATCTTGCTGTATGGTGGTTCTTTATCACTTCATTTGATACTCAAATGAGCAATTAATTATGCCTGCTTTCATTCAGTAATAAATGCTCTTTCATTCTGTAGTGGAGGGTGTTTCTAAGATGTCTATATGCTACTAAATTTGTATGTAAAAGAAAATTGGGATATTATCATCCTTATGTCTTCACTAGTTATATTTTCAATCATACAGGTGCTTGCGGTGGCTGTTTACAATCACTACAAGAGGATCTCTATTGACAGTACAAAGAAGTAAGTACCATGTTCACTCATGTCATATTTCCATTTTCTTGTTTTTGTCGGTATTTGATTCTTTGAAGAACGTCACATGTTTGTTGAGTATGTAATATTTAGATGTTATATCTTATAGTTCTAAAAGATGTCTGTTGTTATGTACTAAGACTATGCACTTGACTTGGCAAGTCGCTAGCAAGTCGCTGACAAGCATCAAATGTGTTCTATTTCTTGATTTGGGTCGTTATTCAATGTTCTAAACGCATGGGGCGTGGTGTGGCGGCGTGGTCAAGTCTTCAAGCCTTAGGAGCCAAAATGAGGCCTGACGTTTTTCAAGGGGTGACTTATGGCGGCAAGTCTGTATATCATGTATATACATATGTTTTTTACTACTACTCAACGATTCAATGATATTAAACAATTTGAATTAGGTTATATACTAGAAACTAAAAAGTAAGACACTAAAAAGGTAAGAAAACTCAAATATCGTGTTACAGAATCGCGTATTAGGCCATGGCATGCTGCAGGCTTAACGTGGCTTGAGACACAAGCCTGAGCCATGGCGGCTGTCGTGGCTAGCCTTTGAGAATATTGGTCATTATGTTAGTTTATCTTTTATATACCTCTATTGCTCTATGTACGTTACAATTCCTAGTTCTTCAAGTTTGTGATCTCTCCAATCGATACAGTGGATTAGTTTTTGGTGTCCTCCATCTGTGGTTTCTCCCTTTTGGGGTTTCCACGTATAATTCCGTTGTCTCTCTATCTCTTTATTGCCTTCTTATATGCGTTTGTGAATGTTGGCACTGAATAGGTGTTTAGCATTAGTTGGTTCACCTTGACACATTATAGCAATCCTTTCCGCATTGAGATCGATATTAGATGATTTGTATTTCAGTTGTTTGGAACAATTGACTTTTAGTTTGACTTTCCAATTGAAAAGTCACAGTAAAGTACTTTCTGGTGTTATAATCACAACCGGAAGGGAGTATTGTATGTGGCTACCGCTATTCTCACATTGAATTTTTGATAAATGCTCCTGATATATGTTATTACAACTTGCAAAGTTAGGCCTGCAGGACATTCGAGAAATGACAAGAAAAATGTCATGGATGAGGACGCAGTAGAACTTGAGAAAAGTAATATACTTCTAATGGGGCCAACTGGTTCAGGTAAATCTTTTTCTTCTCTAATCTTCCAATGTGATTGATCAAAGTTGTATGGATATGGCTTGCGATAACAATATGCATCTTCTGGAGTCCAATTTTTAACCTATCTACTTATAATTGTTTCGAGGACAGGGAAGACATTACTTGCAAAAACACTGGCACGCTTGGTGAATGTTCCCTTTGTTATTGCAGATGCTACTACACTTACCCAGGCATGGTTTTTTCTTCATAATTTGGTTGGATAGTTTGATTTTTTTACAACATTGAATTGGTAAATGTTAAGTAGCTTTGCATGAAGTTCACTCTTTCGGGATGTTAAACATATATTGCAATTTGCAGGCAGGCTATGTTGGGGAAGATGTGGAATCCATTCTATACAAGCTTCTTACTGTATGTCCCTTATGCCTGCTACTAATTAATTGGCAACTTGTTCTGTTAACGTCTTACCTTTTGCCATCACATGTTGAATTACACAAAAACCACTCCATCCCAAAAAAGCAACACTTTCCATTTTGGGTTGTCCCAAGAAAACAAAATTTCTCTTTTCTAGGAAGTCTTTCAATTCTAATTTACCTTTTTGTCCATATACTTGAAATAACGTAGATTTTGGTCCACGAGTTCTGTTATTTGTCCTTGTTAGAGGGCATTTACCCTTATGCATTTGGCTCTTTTAGCACACCAAAAATGCAGTTACTTCGACCTAGAGGATAATAATCACCAAAGAAACTAAATGGTTATGATGCTCTTCAGTTTTCACTAGACTAGACTCTTTCGAAACATATTTCCCCAAATTTGTGGCTTTCAGTTGTGCTTTACTTACCCTTTTTGCAAACGGAGGTTCTTCTCAGAAACATGCTCTCTGTTTCTTGAGACAGAGGCAAGATCTGCTTACATCCTCTACGACCCTACCTTCAGGCAGAATATACTGGGTTTGTTTGGTTTGTTTTTATTCTTATTTATTTCCACAATCTTCATCTAGAAATTCTTAATTGGAGTCGTGTCCTTACACTTGTATACTACCTTTTTGTGACAAACTTTCATTATTTTAGGTTGCTGACTACAATGTAGCAGCTGCTCAGCAGGGCATTGTGTATATAGATGAAGTTGACAAGATTACGAAGAAGGTTTTACTCAAATTTGTTTGCCTTTGAGGATTCTCATGTTCGACTTTTTTACATGTTCCCTGTGGGTTTATTTATTTATTTCTTACTTTCCTTGTTTCCACAGGCTGAGAGTGTCAACATTAGCCGAGATGTTTCAGGTGAGGGCGTGCAGCAGGCATTACTAAAGATGCTAGAAGGGACTGTACGTGCTTGTTTTTCTTTATGCCCTTTATGTTACTTTATGTCAAAGAAGGAAATAATGTGCATCATACCAATGATCTGAAAAGTTTATTGATCGTATATATTGGTAAAATTTTATTTATTGACCACTAATCCAGGTAGTCAACGTCCCTGAGAAGGGTGCACGGAAACATCCTAGAGGAGACAACATTCAGGTATATTGCACTGATTTATGGGTTTAAAAAGTTTGAATTCTTGTTTAAACAACATTAAACATGCTACACTGCTTTATCATCTTCCTTTCACCATTAGCGACAATGTCGCCTTTACTATTACTAGCTCCTAACGTAGAATCACCTTTGAATCTGCTTTTGAACAATGCCATACAACTAGTTGTTCTAATCCCGAACTAGTTAGAGTAGGCTAAAGATGAAACTGACATAAAAATTATAGAGAGGGGAACCCTTTATGGGTTTGGACATGCATAACATCCTTCCATGCACTACCATCTGGATGAAGTGCTAAATGAAAATTAAGTATTCTGAATGGAAAGTCTAGATAACAGAAAGTTACCATTTTAACCATCCGTATGGAAAGAGTGTTGAACAAAAAATGAATATTTTGATATGTATTTTGAAGAATAAAAAAATTTACAATTTTAATCTTCTGAATGATTTTAATGAAAAATGATTGATAAAACATATTTACATAATTGTATAATAATATAGATAGGCAGTCCAACTGCAGCTACAACTGAAAGCACTCAGAAAGCCTGTGGCAACCTCCAAACCACCTGTCTAAGCTTTGATTTAGGGCGTTGAAACATTAATCTCTTGCATTATCTATTTTTTGATACTTCCATATGATGGACCATCAAAGTATATATGTAGGAACCTCCCATTTCTTTATAAGGGATCTTTTAGAGAGAACTGAAAGGGATTCCACATATCCTACACCAAACCACACTAAACTGACCCAGTAAATCCCATTCGCAAGTAGGGTTTCGGGATGAGATGTACGTAGATCTGACCTCTACCCCAAAAGGGTAGAGCAGTTGTTTTCATGAAGACCCTGGTTTGTGCATGAGTGTGAGCAAACACGTATAAGGAATAAAGACTTTCATATGGTGAATGAAACATGGGAAAAGGTCATCAGGAAAGCATAACAAGTAGGTACAATGAAAACATATGAAAAGGTAAGGAAGCCAACACGCACACACACATAGCAAGCAAGGCCAAACAACATATCTATAGCCTAAACTACCAGCCTCCCCCCCCCCAAAAAAAAAAAAATAATAATAATAAAAACCTGTCCAACACATATATGCTAGTTTGCTACCATAATCATGATAAGAATCGAAATCGAATTAATGGAATGAATAAAGAAATTGGAAGGAAAATGGGGTGAATTGATTATCTGTAAATTGGAATTACAAAGAAAATAAAAGATACCAGGGAAATCTCCCTCTCTCAAAGCGTAATGCTAAGAGCCAAAACAAATACTGGAAATCTCCCAATAAAAAACATATGTATTGCCTCCCCTCCCATATAGAGGCAGAAAATTCACTTTCCTAATCAACTTTAGTCGCTTCCCTTTTCTCCCCTTTTGGGCCTTCTAGAATAAAGCTTTAGTATTTTTGAATTGGATTTGTTTTGGGCTAACATAATCGGATTCGTATCAAATGCTCGGTCACCAACACAATGTCATAAGTGAATAACATACACCATGGGGCACTTCCCTGGATCCCCCAAGAGAGCTCGTCTAAGATCACAGCAAAAGAAAAGGACTTAGCGTGACCGTTGGTGTAGGCCTATATTCACCGAAAAATACTTTTGTCTCACCCACCAGAGTCCTAATGCAAGTCCTTGTACTCCCATGCATGTCTGATGTCTTGAATCGACTTAACGTACCTCAAAGGTCCCCCCACTGCTAGGTTCCTCCTGATCACGTCTCGTGGTACACTATCATAGGCCTTCTCACCATGTGTAAGTCTTTCCTACACTCCCTATACTTCTCCATCAGCTGCCTGATGCCTCTATGGATTCTACATATCCTAACACCATCAATGTCCTGCAATAAAAATTGCACCCTTGGCAATTAACAGTCATAGAAGAACCAACCAAGGAAATAGAAAGTGAGGAAGTTATGCTATTTCCTGATCATAGCATGAACATGAAAAAAATGAGAGGTTAATATGATTCACTGCCTTTACTGTAATTACAAATGAAACAGACATGGAAGGAAGCACAAGAAACATGAAATCATCTGGTCGGGATGCCCTTTTAACTTCTTTTTGTCTTGTCAGACTCTTGTGTTCTATTGATCATTTTTTGGTTATTTCATATATGCTCATTACTAGTTAATTAACCAGATTATGGATATTGGGTACTATATTTCTTACAGATTGATACCAAAGATATCCTGTTTATTTGTGGGGGTGCCTTTATAGATCTGGAAAAGACAATTTCAGAAAGGTATGTGCCTTTGGTCTTTTCTATATCGCATTATTTTGCATCCTTGCCAAAAACCCCACATTTTTGTTAATCTTTTTTCAGACGCCAGGACTCTTCCATCGGGTTTGGGGCACCCGTTCGTGCAAACATGAGAACTGGTGGTGTTACAACTGCTTCTGTGACTTCATCTTTGTTGGAGACTGTAAGCTCAGTCTTTTTATTATATTATAAACAAAAGCAGCCTTTGATTTGGTACTCAGATTTGGTGTTTCCATTTGACAGGTTGAAAGTAGCGATCTTATTGCTTATGGTCTCATACCTGAATTCGTTGGACGGTTTCCAATTCTTGTCAGCTTATTAGCTCTTACAGAGGATCAGCTTGTTCAGGTGTCCTTTTATTTCCCATATGCACATTCATTTTACACTATTTACCTACTCCTGACTGGTGCTGACTCGGTCAGCATCTGCTAGTTTACGTAAATACTGATCTGACTGACAAAGCATCTATCCGGTTAACATTGTTATTTCACTTACCGGGTCTACACAAGTTGATAAAAGTACTTTATCGGTAAACGCTTACTACTAAACACTTGGTAAGCAACCATTTCAGTCTGGCACTTACCCAGACCTCACTCTTAACCGGTTAGTGCTTCCCAATTTGTGTTGGTAAACGGCCCCTTAACTTTACATAAAGGTGTTCCTTTTCATTGATTTCACCAAGTAAACCGTAGGCATTTATGAGCAACAATCTTTTGTAGGTGCTAACTGAGCCCAAGAATGCATTAGGCAAACAATACAAAAAGTTATTTCAGATGAACGATGTAAGTCTTTCTTCTCTGTGGTCAACATCGTTATTGTGTCGACTCCTAAACTATAGAAGTATGTTAGTAATTGTTCTTTTTGCAGGTTAAGCTGCATTATACGGAAAGTGCTTTGAGATTAATCGCGAGAAAAGCAATAACTAAGAACACTGGTGCTCGGGGTTTGAGGGCCATATTGGAGAACATATTGATGGATGCCATGTATGAGGTACGTAGCTCGAATTCTTAAAAGTGCTAGACATCATAGTAAGATGAAGTAGCCTGAGATTGAAGCTCAAAATGCCTAATTTACTCTGTCATATGAAATTTCCATCGACACGGGATGGATCCATTACCAATTAGTCATCAAGGCGAAGGATCGTGTGAGAAGGGAAGTTATGGATCCATTACCAATTAGTCAACTAGTGTTGACATTCAATTAGGATTGATCCAAGGGTGGGTGGAGATTTCTTCTTACGCTTATCACTATAACTTCCCTTCTCACCGGAACCCAACCCCATCAAACTGCTCCTAGGACGTAGTACAGTTGGTGCATGGGTGATTTACTTGCACAAACTGGCGAGAATTCAAGTCTAGTGGTTGCAGTGTGGTAGTCACAATTTCTTTGGGGATTGGGCCGCTTGTGGGCATGGGCTCTTAAGCAGCCACCTAGCGAGCCACTATGTACCTGATTTGGTTGCCAGCTAAAAACCCCATTTGCACAATACTAGTAGTTGATCTATTTCAAATGACATGGTGGTAAACGATTTACGAATCTGTTTCAGATTCCTGATGCAAGAACAGGTAAAGATATAATTGATGCTGTGGTGGTTGATGAGGAGGCAGTTGGGGTTGAGGGACAGGGTTGTGGTGCTAAAATCCTCCATGGTGAAGGTGCACTCGATTGTTACCTGTCGCAACATACTGTAAAAGATTTAGAGGTGAATATTACATCCTACTTTTATTGATTGATTAAAAAACGACTTCTATTTTACAACACTACCGTTGTCGTGCTGTGGCACATCTGTTTTGCAGATGGGCGTGGGAAGGGCGGCAGATGGCGGAGCCGAGGCGGAGGTGGAGGCAGAGTTGCCTTCTGTTGCTTTGTAAATCATCATGCCCACATGGAATCACCATGTGTATGTATAGATAATGTGTACTAACTTGAAAGCCATAATGAAAAACATTGATTTAATAAATGAAACTTAATGTGGATGCTTCCATCATTGCAATCAAGGTACATCGGTTGGGACCAGAAAATAACAGAACAAAAACTCGTAATCCTATATTTGATGCAACATAGACCGAGACTGATGGAACTGGAAAGTTACACGACACGATTGTTATTCTTTGTATGTGTGTCGATGTCGAAACGTATTCTCTTATTTTCTGCATTTTATAATACAACAGCTTTAAGAAAAAGAGTAATGATTTATTAATCACACAAAACTATGGGTGAAAGAAGGATAGAGATGGACCCTGAAATGTTGGCAATTAGACACATACCCAACCATTATTATTATGCTTATACACCAAGGATTTGTTGATGGTGCCAACCCACCCCCCACCCTGGTCATCATCATTCCCTTGTTGCTTTAAAACCCCTGTATTTTCGTATTTTGATGTTTTTTTATTTACAATTAAAGTTGATGGGTTTATTCTTGTCGACTCGACAGTGTGGAATGGGCATCGTATTTAGGGGGTGTTTGGGATAGCTTATTTGAAACAACTTATTCTTTTATACAAAAGTGCTTATCAACTTATTATAAGTTAAAATAATTTAACTTCTTCAAAAACTTCTTATTACTGGTTTGATACCGGTATCAGCTGTTTATCCAAACATTCAAAAATGCTTATTATTGGTGTCATACCGGAATAAGTCAATAAGTTATTTTCATAAGCAATCTCAAACATCCTTTAATCCTTAGATATCAGATTTGATGAACTTATGATTGTTTATACCCCTTTGCATAAATTAGATTGTTAAAATAAAATGGAAATTAAATATATATTATTAAATGAAAATAAGTGGTCTGGAATATTTAGTTTAAATAATACAATTGTTTTGGTCATTAATGAGTAGTAGCAGAGAGAGGGAAGAAATTCCTTTTTGTGTACTTTCTTTAATCCTCCCAAATATCAATTAAAAGGAAATTCGACCATGTATAATATGAGCCGTCGGTTTCGTTGAATCTTGATCATTTGAAGAAAAATCAACGGCGATCCTTGCACCTCTAAGTCTCATGGATATATACTCATAGCGAGCGAGACAGAGAGACAGAGAGAAGAAAAGAACCTCTTTTTTACAGGGAAAAAGGGTTTGTTTAATTCCATAATCGATCTGTTGATCTCTTTCTCTTTTATCCCTTCATCACCCTCTTGACATTTTCTTGAAAATCGACTTGTTTGGTTCTTCAAGTATGGAGATCAGAAGACAGAGTTTGAATCCTTATTTGGGTTTTTGAATTTGAGAATTGGGTGCATGTCTTTTATGTTTTATAAAGATTTTGATTCAAATTGAGTCTTTATTGAATCGAGAATAAGGAATATGGATTTGGATAATATAGAGTGTGTGTCTTCTTCGGATGGTATGGAAGATGAAGAGATCCACTCACAAATTACACACCAGTTCTCTTCAAAACCTCACAATAATATGGGAATTCCTCCTGGATTGACTCCCGCTACAAGCGTTCATGAATTGTTGGAGTGCCCAGTTTGTACCAATTCTATGTACCCTCCAATTCACCAGGTTTTGCTTCGATTCCCTTTTCTGTACCTTTTAATCATTGTTTCTTGTTGATTTAGTGACTTTTTTCAATCGAGTGAATAACTTGCGATTGATGGCATGGTTGAATTTCAATTTGTTTAAACTCTTTGGAACATGGAATGAAATTTTGCGATTTAGATTTGAAAGGTTTAGATGTAATTGGGGTTTTAGGTTCTTTGTGAATAAGGAGCATCATGATGATCAATTATTAGTTAGTGGATTCATTTGTTTGTTGAAAATTAATGGCTTCACGAAATGGGAATTTTTTCTCTGTGATTGGTTTGTGCCATTTTGGAAGTGATTATTAGGGCATATGAACACTTAGGATCAGTCTTCATTGGAAGGTTATCTTGTCTCTCATTTAAAGGGTCTATCTACTTCTTGAAACAGGCGAATTCTGGAGATGGTAGTTGCTAGGAGTCTTGATGTATCTCTTCAAATTCGGTAGTATGTTCACCGAAGAAAGAATTTCGCTTCATTTATAAGAAAAAGATTGATGGAATAGGAGAACTGTTATCCCGACAGACGTAACCATTCTGTTGTGATGTCCTAGTTTGGTTCGTAGATCAGATTCCATATAGTACAAATATTTCTTTTCTTTAATGATGGGTTTGCTTTGGTTAAGAATAGATTTTAAGGTTCATTTGTAAAACATTAATTTCTCTTTGTATTTTGGTGCCACAATCTCATCTCACTAGACTGCCATCGAAAAGAGTTAACTTTATGTAAATTGTATTATTGACATGTGACACCGAGAAATTCCTTCATTCATCCTTGAAAATTGTCAATCTCAGCCTTGTGGTAGTCCAGTTTGCTTTAAATATCAGTTGGTCATCCATATCTGCACAACTGAAATTTGCCAAAATGTTCTTTTGAAAATCAAAAGAATGGAACAAGAACAATCTTGAAATGGACATTGTATCTTCTTGTGTAGTTAGTAGTCATCTAGATTTCGTGTTCGGTTTTATGCTCAGGGAATATGATGAGTTTTTGAATTTTCTTTTCTGTAGTGCCACAATGGACACACATTATGCTCCACCTGTAAAACACGGGTGCATAACCGATGCCCTACATGCAGACAAGAATTGGGGGATATTAGGTGCTTAGCTTTGGAAAAGGTTGCAGAATCGCTTGAACTTCCCTGCAGATATTTCTCATTGGGATGCCCTGAGATATTTCCATATTACAGCAAGCTCAAGCATGAGACCTTGTGCAACTTCAGACCCTACAATTGTCCGTATGCTGGGTCAGAGTGCTCTGTTACAGGAGACATACCTTTTCTGGTTACCCATCTCAGAGATGACCACAAAGTAGATATGCACACGGGTTGTACATTTAATCATCGCTACGTGAAGTCCAATCCCCGTGAAGTTGAAAATGCCACCTGGATGCTTACGGTGAGTTCCCTTTTGTTATAACAGTTTTGCTCTATCATTTCTCTATGCGTTTCTTCTTTCTTTGATATTTTGTGTGACGATTGATAAGACCACACAATTAAATCAAGCATATAGGATTTATGTTATTCAACAATTCTCCTACATCTTTGGTTGTTAGTTTCTTATTTTGACTCATGAACTTCAGTAGTACTTAAAAAATGATTGTTAGGTTCCTGTTTAAATGGGAATTTAGACTGAGAAAGGATAAGACAAATAGTTTTTCGTAACTGTCAAAAGTAACCCTTTTTCTGACGGAAGTTGGATTCTGGAAATGGTGGCAAACTTTTTATAGGATGATGCATCCTCTTTTTCTAGGGATTGTTTTATAGCACTCCGTAGGGTAGTTCGTAATAGTGGCTAGTTTATCTGTTGATCCTTTATCACTAATAAGATTATGTGTTTGATTGTTGTAAGGCAAGAACTATTCTATGCTTCAATATGCTAGTCACCTTTGGGTGTTTATTACGTCTCATAGTATTGGTCATTTATCTGATCTAGGAGCTTTCAAGAAAATGATTTTCATTAAAATAATTATATTCTTTTTTGTGAAGGAAGTTCAGGGTTGGGCATGGAATTTGAGTTTGAAAAGTACCAAGGTTTTAGAAGTTAACGATATATTTTATTTACTGTGTTTGTATTTTGGAATGAATTATGAGAATCATGATAAGCCGCCGTTTGGGGTGCTAAACTTGTAAAAGCATATGAAAGGTGCTAGTTTCTGTTTAAAGCTGTAATTTTTATTTTTCATTTCTATTCTTTAAATGGGTGCTATTTTCACCACATTGCTACTAGTACCAAAATTGCCACTCCCTCTGACTAGTGAGAATTGCAATGTTCAACTGAACACATGGTGTAAGAAGATTGCAATACTTTTAAATATTTTAAATGTTCTTAAATAATGACAAATCTGGTAATCGAACGGAAATTTGCCACTTTCATGAGAGTGCCAGACATGGAAACTGCTGCAATTTTTTTGGAATGCAGTGAATACTTTGTGGTATACTCGAAATTTTGGATAGCAATTCATTCCAAGGATACCTATATCCCTCTTAGGCTTCCCAGTAATTTCGTTCATGAAGAAATGGAATATGCTTGTGCTGTTTAGTTCTGTGAACATGCATCTTGTTTCATTTATCAGATAAAATGAAGTCTTTTGGATACTTGAGATCCCAGCTTTCTTTTCCCATATATATATATATATATATATATATATATATATATATATATATATATACTTGAGGGTATCAGATTTGTTTTTGTAAGTTGTTGAGGTGTGAATGTTTGGCAGGTGTTCCATTGTTTTGGGCAGTACTTCTGCCTTCACTTTGAGGCATTTCAACTAGGGATGGCACCTGTTTACATGGCATTTCTCCGGTTCATGGGTGATGAGGCAGACGCTCGCAACTACAGCTACAGCCTGGAGGTTGGAGCGAATGGGAGAAAACTGATTTGGGAGGGAACACCAAGGAGCATCAGAGATAGCCATAGGAAGGTAAGGGACAGTCACGATGGGCTGATAATACAGAGAAACATGGCCCTTTTTTTCTCTGGTGGAGACAGGAAAGAACTCAAACTTAGAGTTACGGGGAAGATATGGAAAGAACAACAGAATCCAGAAGGTGGGGTTTGCATTCCAAATCTGTGTAGCTGAGAGAGATTTTGTTTGTTAATTCCCTTGGAATGAATATGAATGTGTTTGATGAATGTTGGTTGCAGTGTCAAATCAATACTCTCTGTTTCTGGTGTAGTTGAAGTTTCAGGTTATTAAATTCCTTCATCTTCATCTCTGCTGCTATCCTATCAATCTTTTTAGATCTGCAGGAGTATATACATGGAACAAATTACTTAACTTATCTCCACCATTTCTCTTGCATTTTAGATTTGTTATCTTGTGTTTATTAATTGCAGTATGTTTACAGTAACATATGATTCCATGGATCCACCACAGCCCAACACAATGCATAAGGTGAACCTTAGCTTTTAGCTTTCATTTCTCAAAGATTAATGTTACAAACCCACATGTTCATGATTCCATTCCATGGATCCACCTATTTACATGTAACAGAAAAACGGGCGATTTTAGCTGAATGATTTTTGAATTTAAGGGGCGTTTCGATGAAGCATTTCTGAACGGATTTTATAAAATGGAGATTTTGGGTAAATCTTTGTTCCAAAACAAGAGAGAAAGAGGGAGAGATTCTTCAAATCCCATGAGGGATTTGAACACTTTTATTGTATTCCAACAAATAAGAAATCTTGATGTGATATATGAGAGAGACATGTATCATTTTTTTGATAATATAATTAGTGTTTTGATAATAAATACCCATTTAGAATCTCGGTCTTCAGTGTATTTTTAAGTTTTTATAAAAACAAACCGTTTTGAATTAAGAATATGATGAAAAACAAAAGGTTATTAAGCTAAGGTGTTGTTTACCAAACGCTTATCCGGACAAATGCTTATCAAGTCTCATTATCTTACTGGATGAATATAGCAAAGACCAAGAATCTTACTCGATAAGAGCGAGGCAAGGACCAAGAGTCTTATCCGGTAAGTGGGAACGACGAATTTTACCACGGTTAGCACTTGCCGGGTAAATTGTTGCATCCAATGTCGTTTTGGTGGACTAAAATCTTACTGGGTAAGAAAGTGATTGTGTTAAATTTTACCGATAAACACTTACCGAATAAGTGTTTAGTAAACGGTTTTTTTATAAAGATGATGAATGTAATTAACAACGTATATAAATAGTAAATGGTGGCGGTGGTAGAATGGCATACCGACAGTTTTTGGTCAATTTTGGATTACAATACCAAATCAAGTGAAAGTTGAGTGGAAACACCCCAAAGTCCAACCATTTACAGGCTTGCATTTGCTTATCATAACAACCATCTTCTTTTTTTGACTTCTATACAAAATTAATAATAAATTGTTTTTTTCGTTATTTTATAAATTTGTCAAGATTTTCTTTAAAAAAAAGAAAACACATGTGAAATATAAGCATCAATCTATAACATGTATCTGTTTATAAAATGAACTAATTTCTCTCTCTATATTAAAGGGAGAATCAAAAAGTTGATAAATGAATTTTTTTTATTATATTTATCATTTTTTATTATTTTAATTTATTTTTAATATACACTCAACATCCATCTGTATAGATATCACCATCTACATCCAGAAAGCCGTATGCTTTGGAACGTCTTTATCAGAATATTTTTGCTTCTCACTTCGGGCAATTAGCAATAATTTTAGAAGATCATAACATGAGTGATTTGGCAGATTTTAATTAATTGTTAATCTTTCCATTCCCTATTTTTTTAACTTCATTTTCATTATTTTATAAAAGAAATTTGAATCCACAAATATATAAAACTATGTATAATTTTATTTATATCAATGCATGCATATTTTTAATTATATGACGATTGAAAAAATAAATCATCAAAATAAATCAGTATATATATGAAAATTTATTAAAAGTTCTCAATCAATCAATAATAAATATTAAAAATATATTAAAGTAATAGCCAAGATGTGGTTCAATAATAAGTTTTTAAACATACTTATTTTTTTCTTTATAAATAAAATTAGAATCCAAAAACAAATATTTTTATTTACATCAATGCATATATTCTTTTATTTACATGATGATTAAAAATGCATCATATGTTATATCAATATATTTGTACAAACCACCTATATTTGTACAAACCATACAAATCACCCTCATCCGTCGATTTTATTGTTTAATTATATGCAATTTTTTTATGAAATTGTTTAATTTTATGAAATTGTTTCATATAATACTTCTTTTTGATGAAGTTGTTTCATATATGATTATGAAATTGTTTCATATAATACTTATGAAATTTTAATGAAATTGTTTCATATAATACTTATAAAATTTTAATGAAACTGTTTTATGAATTTCTCTAAAATTAATATAATAAAGATGATAATATCTATGATTAACACCATCCACAATAAAAATGATTAATCAACATATCATAATTACAAAAAAATGAACAAAAAAAAATAGAGAAGGTTTACTTTGCAAACCATGATATTTGTACAAACCGTATAAACCGCATTCAACCATTCATAAATTTTCATTTTGTTGATTTTTTTGTATTTATTAGAGGTTAATTAATCATTTTTATTGTGGAGGGTGTTAATCATGGATATTATCATCTTCATTATTTTAATTTTATAGAAATACATGAAACAGTTTCATCAAAATTTCATTAAGTATTATATGAAACAATTTCATAACCATACATGAAACAACTTCATCAAAAAAGTATTATATGAAACAATTTCACAAGATTAAACAATTTCATGAAATTTTTTCATAAAATTAAATAATGAAATCGACGGATGAGTGTGATTTGCACGGTTTGTACAAATAACATGGTTCGCTCCTCTCTCTCTCTCTCTCTCTCTCTCTCTCTCTCTATATATATATATAT